ACTGAATCAAATATTTCAAATGCACAAAAATGACTTTCAGTCAAAATCACAAATCTGAAGATTTTCACTGTGAACACCTTAGTCTTTGTTATAGCCTCCCTTCTTGCAGATGTTCACATTGTGGTTAAAAAAACACCACACACTCATACTCCACCCTGAGTGATATACGTGCTTGTTCACACACACACACACACACACACACACACACACACACACACACACACACACACACACACACACACACACACACATACTTAAGACACATACACTTTTCTTATTCTTACCGTAAACAGCTTCCTCCCACCCTCAGGCTTTGCCTTTCCCAAACTCACCCAGGAGCCCGAGCAGGTAACACTCAGTTGGTTTTGGCAGTCATCCATGTGATCCTGACTGTTTAAACCGAGTTTGTTGCCAAGCAGCTCGTCCTGCCCTGGAACTCTTTGAAAGTTTGCCCAAAAATATGCATAAAAAAATATGAACACTAAATCGTAGAGCTGGTTTGGGGGTATTAGTAGAACTCCTGTACAAAAAAAAAAAGCAGAACTTGAAGGAATTTCTATACTAGAGTACACAGAAGAACTCACAATCTAAACAGACTAAACAGAGATGTGACTAATCAAGATGTGACTAAGATGTCGGACACGTTTTTTTAAAAAGATTTTTATTGTTTTTGCAAAAGATGCAACCTGATCCCTTCAACTAATCACCACGTCATCGCTTAGAGCTAAATCGACCCAAATTTCACAGCTCTTCTGTTTAGAATTGAGGGCGGTGATTAATAGAGATTGTTCTGAGCAGAAACAAAATCCCATATTAGACATCTGTCGCAACGTTCACACGTTTGTCTCTCCCACTGCTTAGCAAACATTAGTGCTTTTGACTAACATTTGGCAGGATGGCACGGTGCCACCTCACGAGTGTTCCCGTAAACACTCACCGCTCTGGACCCTGTGCTGTTGTTCTGTGCCAAAATGTCACTGGAAGTGTGGTCAACCTCAAACCTCAGTGCTGAATAAAACCTAAACCCAAGCAACAGCAGAGCATCAGAAACAGGCAGCTGCACAGAGGACAGAATTTATAAGGGAGGTGGCAAAGTGGAGGCAAGACACTGCCAGGAATTGTTGTTTTCCTCTGTTTAGCCATATTCCCATGGATACTCACAAAAAGGCATAGAGTTAAAATAGTTGTTCTGAATACCAGCAAATTACCTGAGATGAGGTAATTACAATCAGGCATGGAGAACCTAAAAGTAGTGATTTCAGTTAACTTTCCCAGTCATGTCAAGAATATAGCAAACGGCTGTCAATGATAAACATTCTCCTTTCTGTGACAGGCTTAAAAACTCTCTCCGCTTTAGGCCTAAACAACACGGATGATGAGTTTTTAAAAGGCAAGTACATAGTATTACAGGGTGGTGGCTGTCACTTTCATACCCAAAGGGAAAACCTGTTGAAAGCTTGATCCAGCCCCTTCCCCCTGCTCTGGCACAGGTCGGAAATACACTGAGAGGTATTCTGTGGATGAGAAAGTCACAGATTAAATAATCAAAGGTGTGGCTGTGCTTGTTTTGAAATATACAAATATGACTGTACTCTTGTGTAATTCTTGTGCTGGGTTTTGTTTTTGTTACACAGCACAGCCTAAACCACCAAGGTGTAAACTTATACTTTTCTAGGCATGCTCGTGGGAAAGTTCGGCTAATCAACTCTGTTTTAACTAACAGATGGAAAACTGAGAGCAGGGGTTAGCTTGCTGTCCCCTCACAGCAAGCTAAGGTCCTGGGTTTGAATCCACCATCTGGCTCGGGCCCTGGGAGTTTGGATGTTCTGGGTTGTCTCCAGGTACTTCCACTCACAGTCTAAAAAAAAGAGCATGGGGTTAGGTTAACTGGTGATTCAAAATAGGCCGTAGCTGTGAAAGTGAGTGCGAATGGTTGTCTATGTCTTTGTTTTGGCCCTGTGACAGATTTGCGACCTCTCCAGGTGTGACCTACCTCTCTCCCTTTAACAGCTGGAGTAGGCTCCAGCCTCCCTGTGACACTGAAGCGGATAAGCAGAAGCAAATGAATGGAGGGAAAAGTGATAAGAGTAAGAGTAAGCAAATGGTTGATAATTGCAATAATAAAGGTTTTTGTTAATGTGACGCATAAACTGTTCTATATAGAAACAAATCTATACATTTATTAAATAACAATAAATAGAAACAGCTATCTTACTACGATGGATAAATGGGTGAAACATCCACCTTTTCCAGATTTAAGAAGTAGTCACAGATCACTGATTTTAGACCGCCTGTTAAAGTCTCAGCTTAAAGCTGAGTGTGTCCACACAGGAAGTGACTAGCAGCTAACTGGAAACCTGAGACCACAGAAAGTCAATGACATTCGGTCACTTCAAGTGAAAAAAACGGTTGAAAAAAACCCTTGTGATGCACAGTGGGCGCGTCCCAAGATAAACATTTCTCAAATTCAACATGAGCTGCTAAAGCTAGCTCACTTGGTTACCAAACTGCAGATATGAACAATTAAAATGCTATTATTTTTCTTACCAAAAACTTGGACGGTCCTTACCTTACAGAAGGCAATATTATTTATCAGGCAGTTCCATTAAAACTTCTTTAAAATGACATGAACAGCGAACACAAGAAAGCTGTTAGCTAAAGCTGCCAATGCTAGTACACTCATTAATATGAGCTGTCATAACTTTCATAATGCAAACGGATGCGTTATGAAAAAACTTAACAGTACAGATGTTATTTATGTGGAAAGTCTCCATAAAGACCAGTGCCCTTCGTTATACCAGGATGGTTTTTAATGTTGTAAGCTGGGTATTTTAACATGGAGGTTTATGGAGATTGGGTCACTTTTAGAAAGCGCCTCAAGTGGCCATTAAAGGAACTGCATTTCTGCACTGTCATTCTTTCTGAGCCCTGGAGGTTGCTGCCTGGTAGATGTAAAAATGGAAGAAAAAAAAAAATTATATATATACATAAGTGTGTTGTGGTTGTATGTCTCTTTCAACAAGTCAAGTTTCAGTTTAAATTCAGGTCTGTCCAAGCACATATAAATAGTAACATATTCAAAGGAATTTGACACTTTTGGCACCAAACTTCACGTCCACGTCTGAATATCTGACCAAATCTGAAATGCAGTTACAGTCTCCCTTTCTGTTCCTGAATCACGAAACTGAAAGATTAGAGGTTATGATCTCACACTGAGGCTGACCTCTGACCTTTTAGAAATTAAATGTCAGAATAGCATCCCATCAGACATTTGTGTGCCATTTAATATTTCACCTTAGAATTCTTGAGTTTTGGCCAAGAATGTGTTTTTGCGAGATCGCCAAATTCAAATCAGGTGAACCTTGAGTCCAAACGGATGTTTGTGCCAAGTTTGAAAATACTTCCTCGAAGCACTTCAGCAGACAATACCTGCCTTTATTAATTGTTAAGTAATATCTATTTTATAATCCTTTTAATGGGAACACATCTGGAGCATGGTGGGTGGTGTGAATATTTGATAGGGTTATAGGCGGTTTGTCACACTGATCATCTGCACATGTTGATGAAGATTCGAGAGCCAGTTTTTGTTATATGCTTCTGTTATTGTAATATACATTCTGCCACGGCCTTGTCTTCAGTACACAAGATCAGAGATTCATCCCTCAGGAGCAGCCAGAGGATTTTGCAAAGCATCCTACCTGACTTGATTTGTGTGTAGAGGGATGTGGGATACAGTAGTGAAGGCAGTGGTGCTTGATTGTGTGGGCGTTGGAAGAAGTACAAACAGGAGACAAAGGTTTCCTTCTCTGCTACTGAGACAGGTGCTCTATTGAGGAATCATATTTCTTTTCTCTCAACGCCAGATCCTACCGAGCAAATCACAGCAACTCTACTTGTAAATCTAAACAAAAAAAAGAAAGAAAAAAAGGTGGTTTTTTTAATGGCCTTCTGACATCAAAAGGGTAAAACACTATTTGTGAATCTTGCCCGGTGTAATCCCCCCTCTTTGGCTGTGTTGGACAGAATTTCCTCAGTTTCCTCTATTTCATGATCAAAGCTGTTTACTTCAGGCGACATGGCCAACATCAGCATCCTATCAGATTACTACAGGAGGAAGTGTTTGCTCTGTGGCTGATCACAGTTTTCTGCTCTGCTGATGTGTGTCACTGCTGTGTGCTTTCAGGCGTCACTTAGAAGTGGAGCAGTCAAATCATTTGAATATATCATATCAATACCTGTGAGCACCCCCCAAAAATATATGAATATTAACACAAGTTAGGATGTTTATTTTTATTTTTTAAAGATGGTTCATATTAAATAATTAATGTTATTTTTCTAGAAGAACTGAACTTATCGTCTGAGGCAGAAAGTCCCTAACTTGCCTAGCCACATGGATTTAGACTGGAGCAGGAATGCTGCTGGAATGAGGCCTGGAGTGGGCCTGGCTTCCCGGTTGTCCAGAAGAGGAACTTATACGTCAGTGTGCCCATATAAGGAGTCTCGACTTCCTCCATGGGACCGATTGCAGTAAACAGCTGATGTTTGTTGTATATTTCATACCCAATGGATCCAACAACAGATTGCGCGTGAACTAATGGGCATCCCATGAAGCTATAATGACATAAAATGAACCCAAACTGGCGCATTTAACGCAGTTTTAAGACACATTAAAGAACCTACAAATGAATTAGAAAAGCAGCGACTTGCTCTAACGGAATAATCTCACCTCCTCGCTTACCCAACAACCACTGATTCAGCCCATAAACGCGCAAAGTCGTGCATAAATGCATCGGACTTTTCTATTTCTGACATCGGTCTCCGCTGCGAGCCCTCCTCGGAGCGCTCTCTTGCCTACAGGCTTGTTTACAGTCGCCTCTTCCCGGCATTAGCGTCACTTGACGACGCACTCGATGGGCGCGGAGACACAGACTCTGTCCAATGACAACGAAGCACCGTATATAAAACGGCGCACATGAACCCGCCTGAACACACCTCAACAAGCACCAAGACAAACACAGCGGCAAATAGGAATTGCGAGAAAGAAGTTTTGTTTCACAGGATTTGAAGGAAAAAACCACAGCAAACAGGCTCCGGGAAAGACTTTTGAAATCCGCTGATACTGAACTCTTGCTGGACTTTCACTAGTTTGTTTCCTTTGCTCTCCATCCTCGAGTGATTTTCCTTTTTTTTTTTAAATTTGGAAACACTGTTTAAGAGAGACTACAAGTGCCCGATTTGATGCATGCTCTCTGCTGACACTGACTTTTGTTGATTACCCAGAGACTGTGTTTCTGTAAGCGGCCGGTAAGCTCACTTTTTTCCTACGACTTTATGTCTACAAAGATGGAACAGCCTTTTTATCATGACGACTCTTTTCTGTCGGCTTACGGCCACTCAGACGCGCCAATGCACGACTGCAAACTGATAAAGCAGAATATGAATTTGAACTTGACAGAGCCCTATCGCAACCTGAAATCCCAGCTGAGAGCCGAGACAGACCTGTACCACGGGGGCCAGCAAGACGTGGGGTCCCTGAAGCTCGCATCCCCAGAGCTCGAGAAGCTCATCATCCAAAACAGTAACGGTGTGATCACCACTCCCACCCCGGGCCAGTACTTCTACAACCGGGGCATCACCGATGAGCAGGAGGGCTTCGCTGAGGGTTTTGTGAAAGCATTGGACGAGCTCCACAAGATAAACCAGATGCCCCCCCCTAACGTGTCCATCGGAGCCGGTGGAGTTACGACGTGTTCGCCGGCGGCCTCTAGCGTCTTCGGCTCCGCCTTGCAGCCCGAGCCCCCCATCTACACAACACTGAACGCCTACTGCCCGAACACAAACTTATCTTCATCATCCAGCTACCCCACAGCCACCATCAGCTACCTGCCGCCGCACCAGCAGAGCCACCACCAGCAGAGCTCGATGCACGGCGCGCATGCTTTCCAGCATACCCTCCCCGTCTCCGGACTCCATCCGCAGCGGCTGGTCTCTCTGAAAGAGGAGCCTCAGACCGTGCCCGACCTCCTCAGCAGCGACGGCTCGCCTCCGATGTCCCCGATTGACCTGGAGACCCAGGAGAGGATCAAGGCGGAGCGCAAGAGGCTGAGGAACCGACTAGCCGCTACCAAATGCCGGAGGCGCAAGCTCGAGCGCATCGCGCGGCTGGAGGAGAAGGTGAAAGTTTTGAAGAACGACAACGCGGGGCTCTCCAACACGGCGTCGGTGCTCCGGGATCAGGTGGCTCAGCTCAAACAGAAGGTCCTGACACACGTGAGCAGCGGCTGCCAGCTGATGCTCACGAGCAAGCTGGAGGCGTTCTAAACACACCAGAGACTACTACTAAGAAGAAAAAATGACTGAAAAGTGATAACACTGGAGTCATGTTCTGCATGCGCAGCACTGGAATTACCGGCTCGTGTGTAGTCAGCATCACAGGGCCAAGGGCCAGGTGTGGACGATACTAAAGGCTGTTTTTGGGTGAAAAGACTGATTGTAATGGTACTTCCGGATGCTGGACACTCCTCACAGGACCATTCAACCCTAGAATCCAGGGCAGCATCCAAACTGAGCAGACACTGAGCAACACAGTGGGCACACATGCCCATAAGTCGGGTTTACTAATGGTAGAAAATGGGAATGATTATTTGTTTTACTTTGTACCATCTTCCTTTTTCATTTTGTTTAGTTTTTTGTTTGTTGGCTGCATTTATTCATTGTGTAAATTATTTCATGTGTCCGGTTGATCCAGACAAACTGATGTCCAATGTTTACAGTGTCTCTTTTTAAAAAAAAATAATTTGTGTTGTATATTTAAGTAAAGTGTCTCAAAAATGAAAAATGAAATGGTGGAGTTGAGCGTTTTTGTTTTCACACATTTACACACAATTTAGAATAACAACAACAGCAGCAGCGGGAAAGAGTGGGAAGAGCAAACGAGGTTTTCTTTCCTACCATACTGTAACCATAACAGTTACTATAGCTCCCAGTGAGGAACTCTTACACAAGCACATTCTGGTTGCGGTGTTTTTACGCACAGAGCGTAGCTTGCGTATGTAGGCCTTTCCTAATTACGCAGGGGCTGTCCATATATGGGCATACTGGTGACTACTTCGTCACAGGGGAGGATTTCTGGGAACCCCCGCCCAGGTAACGCAAACAGGTTCCTTCTCACTCCCTCTATATACCGTATCGATAAGATTTGCGAACTTCATGAGGGTGGCGGAATTTCCTTTTGGTTATTGTGCAATTGTAAAATAAAGTGTTTAAACGGGAAGAGAGCAAAGTACGATCCTCTTATCTCTTATCAGCTAGACAAGCTAAACAAGAGCTTGGCGTGATAACAGGAAGCAGTAATAAAACGGCTGTGATCGTGGTGCTTTTTAATATTGTTATTTTTTAATATATTAAATGAAGATTCTTAAACTCATACGCTAGCCAACTATCGGCGGCGCTCGAGCCTCAAAGTTGTTGCAGCATCTTTTAGGTGTCAGTGTAATTGAAAGATCGCACACGACGGAAAGTGGCAGTGACTTAGTACCTTCAGGAATGCCGGGGCGTCTCAAGATGCCACGCCGGTTGGCAGAGCAGTAGGCGAGAGTGGGCGTCCGGAGCGCGCAGGAGCATCTGTGTGGATGGATGGGGCTGTGCGCGCTGCCAAGGACAACATTCTGGTGGGACGCATCAGCGGCCAAATATGCGCGGCAGCAGGATCTCAGAAGATGGAGAGAGAGCGAGAGGGGGGAAAAGTCCCGTGTTAAGAGGATGTGAATGAATCATTAAACACACACACACACACACACACACACACACACACACACACACACACACACACACACACACACACATATATATATGTGTGTGTGTGTGTGTGTGTGTGTGTGTGTGTGTGTGTTCGTGTGCGATCTTTCAATTACACTGACACCTAAAAGATGCTGCAACAACTTTGAGGCTCGAGCGCCGCCGATAGTTGGCTAGCGTATGAGTTTAAGAATCTTCATTTAATATATTAAAAAATAACAATATTAAAAAGCACCACACACACATATATATATATATATGTGTGTGTGTGTGTGTGTGTGTGTGTGTGTGTATATATATATGTGTGTGTGTGTGTGTGTGTGTGTGTGTGTGTGTGTGTGTGTGTGTGTGTGTGTGTGTGTGCTATAAGGTGGTGGGTTGAATGGTGCGTAGCGAACTATCTTCAGCTTCCACGGAAACCAGGTCTTGAAAAACTTTCCTGACCATGAGACTACTGGCCGAGAGAGCAGCTGTGTACGACGTGGTCTCAGGAAAACCGAAGGGGGATTTCTGTCCTGTGAACACACTCGGTGACGTACAAATAATCAAGACAGTTGGGCGTAAATACACGATTTCTCTCTCTCAGTACTCACGAAAGCCACTTCAAAAGAGTCTAGGAGGTAAGGTTGCGGTTTTGTGCGCGCACTCTCACCTCAAGCTGTTTTGGAGAGGTAGCCCGTATTCTCTTTTAACTTGACACGTATTTGAATACTTAATTTCCATCAATAACAACTCCACTTGTTTTTTGCCGTTTGGACGTGGAAACAGAACCGGGCTCGCCCACACAAGTTCTCCTTTTTCTGTGACTTTTTGTTGTTGTAATTATTATTATCAAGAAACCTATATTCAAGGGGATGTACACTGAGATCAGTACATGTTTCCTATATTTCAGCAGTTTTGTGTACAGTTACATATGTACAGTTATATATAAAGTGTGAGCAGTGAAACAGACCATGTAACATCACACCGCTATTTTCATGACTTATATACAGCTCCAACTCTCAGAATGAGTACTTTTAAATATCACTCCAGCGCTTAAGTCTGTATTTACGCAGTAGGCAGGCCTACATATTACAATGCAGGCACACACAGTCCAAAAAAAGAAGAAAGACAAAAAAAAAAAAAAAATCCAATTTCAAGCCATACTGGCTCTCCACACGCCTCGGCCCACAACCCACACTGAGTGTCTGTGGGAACATCTGTGATGTGAACGGTGACGTATGAAGAGCCCTGGGTGGGTTTGATTTTCCTCTCCACGAGCCCCCTTCCCCTCCCACAGACACTCGCAGGCCTGGCTTTCTCTCTCTCGCTCTCACTCATTCTCTCCCTCTCTCCGATCTTCTGTTATCTTCTCGAGAACCATGAATATTCCTCCCACCTTTCGGTGGCCATCTGAGGATCCCTCAGAAGTTGCGTGGCTTGTTTTGGATGGGTAATGAGAATTAGGAAAAGTTTGTGGCTGTCATAAAAAAGCACTCGGATTGTCCACATAGCGTTTATTTTTTTGTTTATTTTAGCTTTGTAACGTGTGTGCGTACACCTGGAAATGACACAGAACTGGCATGGTCTATGATATAGTCTATACATTCATCTCTTAAAATAACAACAACAAGAAAAACCGTGATTAATTAATTATCTGTGTCATGTGTGCTGCCATTAACAGGACGGTAACAGGGCCTCACAGAGGAGGCCCTCTGTGTTACATAAGACAGAGCTGTGAAGGTTGTAGCACACATATACGGGGAACGTTTAAACAGCTTTGGCTGGATTGTGCTCATGTTCTGATATACTGTATGATGGCGCGTTAACGCTACAGCAGAAAGGTGGCCTGGAAAGCAGCTCGAGATTCACACATGCACTGAGTCACTGTCGTGACGCTTCTGAGGGGTTTGTAGACGCACATCTCCATCTACTGGAATTACAACGGAAGAGCATTTGAAAGCAACACCGTCCTTCGTGTCTTTCCCTGGCCAATGAAATTCTTACTTAACAGAGGTGTGGCCATTATTTTACCCTTACCTTAAACCTTTATAAAGCATAAAGCATGGTTTCAGAATCAAATGAAAAGAGGTTTATTGTATTAAAAATGATACTGGTTCCCTAAAATGTAACTGTGTAAAGAGCAAGGTGCCCACAATGTAGCAAAAAGAAAAACACACAATCTGAGGTACACAATGCAGTAATCTACACATTTTATATCAATGCAAAGAGTATTATCCATCTCATTTGTTAATGAGTTCTCGAGCTTTTTTTTTATTTAAAAATTGACTTTTGTCACATTTACATACGTCAGATCATCAAAGTAATTTTAATATTACAAATACAATCTGAGTAAATGCAAATTGCTGTTTTTAAATGATGGTCAGCTTTTGTCTCGTCAGTCCACGGAATATTTTCTCCCAAAAGTCATGGAGATCTTCAGGATGTTTTCCAGCAACTGTGAGATGAGCCTTTGTGTTGTTTTGGGTCTCCATTGGTTTTCTCCTTGAGCTCTCACATGGATGCCAGTGTCTTTCTTATTGTTGAATCATGAACTTTGACCTTAACTGAGGAAAGTGAGGCCTGCAGTTTTTTTTTGTTGTTGTTTTTGTTTTGTTTTTTAATGCTGTTCTGGGTTCTTTTGTGGCTTGTTGGAGTAATTTTGGTTCACCACTGTTCAAAGTTTTCTCTATTTGTGGGTAACGGTTCTCACCGTGGTTCACTGGAGTCCCAAAGCCTTAAAAATGGCTTTGTAAAGCTTTCCAGACTGAAAGATGTCAGTGACTTTGTTTCTCGACTGTTCTTGAGTTTCATTGGATCGTGGCATGATGCATTGCTTTTGGAGATCTTTTAGCCCAGACTGGTTGTATCTGGTAGTAATCAGGCCTGGTTATGGCTAGTAAAACTGAAGGCATGCCTTCCTTTCCAAAAGAGTGGGTAAATCACAGGTAATTTATGATTTAGCAAGGTACAGAATAGTCTAACACTGATACTGAAATTTGTTTGATGATCTGAAACCTTCAGGTTTCACAAAAGTGCAAAAAACTGAGAAAAATTAGAAAAGGAGCAAACCATTTTCATTGCACCAACCTTTTAAAAAGTGTGGTTTTGTCTGTGACTATATATGTGTATTTTGTCACTAACACGTCCTTATTTCGATTATCAAATAAAAAACATCCCTGTATAGAATTCAGCATCTTCTCATTTATGCTAGCCAAAGAAAATTTCCTAAATAGAAAAAAATTTTTGTATGTGCATTTTGCAGAAATCAAAGTGGAATGTTTTACAAATAACACATGTTTGTACCTGGTGCCGGACTGTTTGATCAGGAACGAATGCAGTTTAGAAAACTGGTGTATAAAACAGCTTTGTGCATGCCAGTGCTCTTACACAAATAGTGTGAAAATTGATTGTGTGCAAGAGGGCTACCGCAGAAAAACAGACAATCACAGCTACAGCCAATTTAGTATTGCCAGTATAGCTGAAGAGTTCACAGAGAGAACCCACACAGGCACGGAGAGAGCGTGCAAACTCCACACACAGTTGGGGAATTTGAACCCAGGAGCATTTTGCTGTGAGGCGACAGCGCTAATCATTGCACCACCAGGTGGTGCAGTCACAAAGCAGCTGTAGATTACTATAATTACAAATTTAAATAGATATTTTGGTGCTCCATGCCTTCTTTCTTGACACACCCCTGGATGTGCAGTAAAGGTCCCACCCAATTCATGGACTGCTGCTGAAGGTGTTTTTGCTCATATGGTCAACCCACTGGGTTCTGTAGAAGGATGTCTGTTCATTACCATCTCAGGTCTGAACACCGGTCTGTCAGGATATTTATTAAGCACCTGATTTTATTCTAATCAGGTTTTTGAATGAGCACATTTTGCTTAATGTGTCCAAAATGGTGTTATTTCCTATAAAGATGATATATTTGAAAATGCCTCTTCTTCTATTAAATATATATTTATACAGAATATCAATTTATAATGTAGACATCATGCAACTTTTAAGTTCTGATTACAGAGTTATTCACTGACCCTCCCAGACCTGGGACACTTGCTTGT